TTGTGGGGAACATTTTAATCAAACTAAAAATTGTTGGGATTAAGGTTTCGCCTTTTGAAATGAAAGGATGGTCCCCATATAGATATGAATACAGGTCTGTGTGTGTGTGTGTGTGTGTGTGTGTGTGCGAGCGGGTTTACCTATCCTTATGGGGACACAATGTCCCCATAACGTGATAAATATCCTTTTTTTTCCCTTATGGGGACCGGTTTGCTGGTCCCCATAAGGGAAAACTCTATTTTATAAAAATCGGTGAATGCTATGAAAAAATAAAAAATGTAAAAAAAAAACTTGTATTTTGTTAGGTTACTTATGGTTATGGTTAGGGCAGGGTAGGGGTTAAGGTTGTCATAGTTAGCGTTAGCATTTTTTGAATGAATCAATGAATGAGCGGTCCCCATAAGGATATGTTTACCCTACATGTGCGTGTGTGTGTGTGTGTGTGTGAGTTAAGATTTTTTTTCAGAAGATTTGGGGGAAGTGTTTTGATGTAAGCAAGTGAAGGAAACACCTGTATTAAGGCTACACGATTCTGGGTAAAATAGCCACATTTTTTCCATTCTGATTCAATATTGCAATTTACTCATATGGTTCTTGATCAATATATTTCTCTTTTATTATCGTTATTACTTATTACAGAGCGGCACGGTGGTTAGCCTTGTTGTTTCACACCTCTGAGACCCAGGTTAGAGTCTCTGCTATGGAGTTTTCATGCTCTCCCCTGCTGTCATGGGGTGTTTTCCAGGCACTCTGATTCCCCCCCATGGTCCAAAAATGTGCTGAGGTTAACTGGATTAGCCAAACTGCCCATAGGTGTGTGTGTGTGACTGAGTGAGTTGAATGAATGGCGTGTGAGTGCGGCCTGTGATGGGTTGTTCCCTGCATCCCTAGGCTCTAGAGCCATCATGAACAGGACAGCGGTTACAGATAATGGATGAATTTTGCATTGCATTTAATATTGTGTTTATGAAAATCGAAGAAACAATATGTAGAGACGCACTATATAATTGTTGACATATTATATAAGCCTACACTATATATTGTACTGGCCAATATTCGTAAACATTTAACAAACATTGCAGCAAAGTCAACACTTTTGTTTACAGTAGAGGTGCAGTAAATTTGGGCTGAACAGAATCCAGGAACAACTGGATGCAACACACAAAAGAGAGATGGAGAATACCGGTTTTGTCAAAATGACAGGTTCGGTCAAAGGTCAAAAAGGTCACATAAATCAAAAAGGACAGGTCTTTGAAGTGAGCCATGTGACGCAACTAGTGTTAATTAAAGGTAACATAAATCAAAAAATGACAGGTCTGGGCTGTGAGCCAGCACCGACCAGTGACGTTGGGAGAGGTTTAATTATTAATTAATATTTTTTTTATTGTTTATTAATTATTTATTATTTAATTATTTATTATTATTTAATTATTATTTTTATTATTTATTATTATTGTATTTTGAGGA